TCCCAGCTGGTAACGAGTAATGGACCTGGACTTCGCAAACGTCGCCGCCGCACTTCAATACCAACATCGTTGATGACGCTAGCGAGAGACAGGAACGGATGGAAACGGTGCTGTGGCCTGCGCGACAAGTGAAGACAGGCCATCTAAGGATCTAAGTATCTAATTAATTCGCATTCATAAATTTAGGGTTACCCAGATGGGCTGTAGGTTCTAATTGTACTTTTCTTGCAGGATGCACGCCTCATTATGAATATACGAAAGATAGCAGTGTAATGATGACTACAGCTAACTGGTGAATGAACAAAATATTGGAATTGCTTTTACTATAGTTAGGGCACTTTTCACTGTCTATAGGGAGTATTTTCAAAACAAAAATGATTGGGAAACTCTCTAACCGCGCCTTCAGTCTTACATATTACACGCGATGCTGCGCTGTGGATGTGATTCAATGCATACTACCAAACTATCAAAGAATCTTTGCTAACATCTTCTATTCCTTCCATTACAAAAGCCCTGGCTTTTTCAACTACAAATGTGCTATTATTCAAAAAGAACTGTCAAAGGAAAAAGGATGTGTGCCAAAAAATTGTACTTGAGTTAAATTACGCGTTTTGAAATTTCAAACTAATACTCAAGTCTTTCTGCAGACGTGAATATGTTGTGTACAGTAGCGATAAGTATTCTCAGCAGTAGTTCCAATCCTCAAAGCATTACTTAGAAAAAAATGCAAAATGCAACTCTCACTACTTCATATGTTCCTATGCTTATTCTACTGCTGCAAGTCATTAGAATTTCTGGAAGTTTGGAAGATGAGATGGAACGAGCCTCACTTCAGATTGCGCGACACTCACCTAGAACAAACTGCGGCCAGTAAGTGAACCGCTTGGCAAGGGGGTACGCTACCACAAGAAACAAAGATGAGGCACCGACAGCAACGCTACAAGAAAACAGGTTTATCCTATGGGTAACAAAATTGGCAAAATCAAAACCACTCAAACTGGTAGTGGTAATGTGAAATATGCTATGTAAGGTTATAATGATAAAATACATTCAGAAAAAATACCTGAACCAGTTGAACTGCATCAATATAGCAAAAGAGGCTGAAAGAAGGACTCCTAAACACGAGATTGCTTGACGATGATTTAGGGTTCCGCAAGCCAGTGGACGCAACTTTGTGCGTTCAACCTTGAACATATGCTAATAGGTAATCTCTAGAAGGAAAATGACTAAATGGAAAAAAATAGATAGCCGTTAATGTTCACCTGAAATTGGGAATATCTTATTGTTTTTCAAATCAATTCAAGCACTTTCCTAGAGTTACAACAAGCCTGATCTAATGATACATCAAAGCTGAGAAGGTCAAGCCTTCCTTATACTAAATATGGCAAATACAAAATTTCCCATGAACTGCATCCAAGATTAAAACAGGAGGTATGTCAGAAACAGTAAGGAACGAACCCGTTTGTCAAAATCTTTGTCCCAGATATCATTTATAACGCATCCTGCACCGCGCATTAATACAGATCCTGCTCCAAATAAAATGAGGTAGTACAGCGAAGGTAGATGACCCGCGGGAGTAGCCAAGGCAATCGACCAGGTGCACGGCCAATATAGTAGCCATGAACCTGCAGCATAAAACATATTTTTCCAATGAAGAGTATTTTGGTGAAGAACAAAGAAAAACTCGTACCAGTTGGACTGTGAAGACGCATCAACTGTAAATAAGGTCGAAGAGCAGGAGGTGCAGAAGCAACAAGATCAGCTGCTGTTGGAAGTTTGAACGATCGAGTCTGCGTTTCCAGTGTAGGCGCCACCCCATTAGAGGTTGAAGTAGTCCTGACAAGAGCATTTCAAGATGTGAAATATGGATGTGAATTGAAAAGCAAGATATGACACAGGAGCATATCTTCATACCATCGCTTAAATGTAGTCTGATTGAAAACTGTCGACGATAGTGAAGGCAATGACGAACAAATGCGAAAGCAACTCGTGAAAGGAAGGCTTTTGAGACTATTACTATGAAACATTGATTCGAACTGATCCTCTAAAAGCAAGAAAGAACCTGATAAAGATGAATAAATTGGTCCGAAAAGAAAGAATCACTGATAAGGCGAACAGGAAGTCCCTAAGAAAAGAAATCAACATAAACACGATGTGATCAGAATTT